TCTCGTGGCATCAGCGTAGCACAAAAACCCTTTCACTCCCAGCACTGCCCTCCTTTCACTCATTCTCTCCCACCACCATGTCAAAGCGCAAATCCGACGCTGGCGCAGCAACCTCTTCCAAAAAGGCGCGTACAAGCGACGCGGCGAACCCACACGCGTCTGCTGTCGCGCTCGTTTCGTCCATCCTCGCAGACAGGGAGAGCTTCGTACTTCCAGACGACGACGACGCGATAATCGATAACTTCATCCAGCTCGCGCAGTATGCACGCGCTTTGGAGGGACAGATCGCGTCTGGATCCGGTGCAGGAGGAGATGGACCTCAGAAGAGTCCCGAGGCTATCCAGGCGGCTGCGGAGAAATTGAGAAGGGCTGCTGTCGCTGGGATCAAGAAGCAGATGAGCGTGAGTAGTACTGCTTTCGTCGCTGTGCACACAAGAGTCTGACGACGCGTCGTAATGCAGTGGAAACCGTCCTGCAAGACGGGCGGTGCCAAGTTCCTCTACGACGGCGTGTGCGCCGATCCTGCTGTGTTCGGAGCCATGTTCGGCCTGAACGAGGCTCCCACTTGGAAGCAGAAGAAGATACCCACGGAGGAGTTCGAAAAATACTTCGGCGACATCGTTGGATCCGTAAGGTGCGTGTCAAAGGACTAGTTCACTTGCTACGTTTGTCCTGATCGATAATTTGCGACCAGATACGACAGCCTCTACATCACCAGCAAGGACGTCAATGTCAAATATGCTGACGGTGAATTCAAGATCAGCGGGACCTACGGAGTATCCAGATCCTTGTGATCGCACAAGGCAGTCATTGAATCGACTGTTCGTTCAAAATAACATTACAACCGTATCTTATCCCGTAAAGCTTGGCCCTTTTCGTACTTCTCACTGTACATGCTGCTACTCTTACCTTACGTTGTATTGTCGATAATAAAACTCGCTTACAGCTCACAATGATAGCCCATTGATAATCCTTTGAGTTGGAGATTGTGAGGTTCAGCAAGTTTCGTCGGACCGTCTGGCTCACACTAGTACTCCAATTTCTCTGGGTGTGAATGAAAAGACTTTCGCAGAATGGAGAACGACTCATCAGCCAGATTACGGGTCGCCAGTATCAGGATGGAGAAAGAAAAGGAACGAGAGTTGTAGGAGATAATAACAGAATATGCTTGGTTACTGGATGCGGATATGATACGACATGCAATGCGAGAGGATGGGGTTGATAAAGAGCAACAGAAAATGCCGACACACTGCCATAGAAACGGAGGAGAGATGGTCTCGCGTGAGATGGCATTTCAGTTCGGCAGGACAGGATGCATTTAATCGTCTGCGGGAGCCTCATTTGACTCCTCCTTGTCAGCGGGCTTGTCTGAAATATATGGGTCAATATAACTCAGGGCATAGTCAATGATGCACGCAGCTTACCCTCTTGCATGTCTGAGGTCCAGAGAGTGAGGTTATCACGGAGCAGTTGCATGATGAGGGTGGAGTCCTTGTAGCTCTCCTCTGATAGAGTGTCGAGCTCGGCAATAGCATCATCGAATGCCTGCTTGGCGAGGTGGCAAGCACGGTCGGGGCTGTTAAGGATCTCGTAGTAGAAGACGGAGAAGTTGAGGGCAAGACCGAGACGGATGGGGTGTGTGGGTGGGAGCTCGTTGACAGCAACCTCAGAAGCAGCCTTGTACGCCTCGAGGGACTTGTCAGCGCTGACCTTGCGCTTGTCGCCGGTGGCGAACTCAGCGAGGTAACGGTGGTAGTCACCCATCCTATGACGGTGTATCAATCATCGGCGAGTTCCCAGCAGATAAACATCATGTCGCTTACATCTTGTGGTAGAAGACCTTGGACTCGCCAGAGGCCGCGGAAGGGATGAGGTGCTTGTCGAGGACATCGAGGATATCTTCGCAGATCTTAGCCAGCTCGCTCTCAATCTTCTCCCGGTAGCCCTTGATCATTGAAACTTGGACCTCGTTGCCCTTGGTCTCCTCCTTTTGCTCAATGGAGGAGACAATTCTCCAGGAAGCACGGCGGGCACCGATGACGTTCTTGTAGGCAACGGAGAGGAGGTTGCGCTCCTCAACGGTGAGCTCCTGGTCGGAGGAAGCGACGCGCTTCATGTTCTCAACCATCTCTGCGGGTCATAGCTCCGGATCAGAATAGGGTGCGATGTACGATGCAAGGAGATTCGTACCCTCATAGCGCTCAGCCTGCTCAGCGAGCTTGGCGAGGTAGACGGAATCTTCACGCGATTGAGACATCTAAAGCGCGAGAGGAGTGCACATGTTAATGACGGAAGTGGCATGACACGCGCAGGACGCGTTGACTTACTGTTGAGAGTTGGTGGGGGTGATGTGATGAGGCTAGAGAGGAGGCACGGTGAGCACGACGTGGCGGACAACGAGGGACGCGTTGAGGACGACTCACACGAGGTGGGGGATGTTGGAGGGGATGATGGAGGTTGGAGAAAGGGAGGATGAGCAGAATAAATCAGGAAATTAAATTCAAGGTTGGGCAGAGGGTTGGGGCAGAGGGCAACTCACGTGACCCCACTGCCATGTTTCCTTAGCGCCGTTTCGGGGGCGACGGCAAACTCCGATCTCCCCCGTTGCTGGCAATTCGGCTCACGACGCTGACGTCTTCCTCACCGCCAGTGTTGGCGTTGTCGTCGGGCGTTGCGTGTTGCCAACAGTCTTGACTTTCCAACGTGGACTGTCGTCTCCTCCGTTGCCCGTAAGATTCGCTTGGGCCTCTTCAGCAGTTATCGTGTATCTCATCGGATAGGGACACCACCTCCGGAACAAACATCGGCACTAGTCACACAACCAGTCCTTTGCTGTGGCTTGAATCAGTAATTATAGATTCTGTCGTCCTCCCATGCCCTTGCCCTGACATTCTGTCGCTACCCATCCTTCTGATCATCATTGCCTCATCGCACCATGTACATCCTTCTCCCAACTGCGCGGCAGACGGTGTGATTGGAGACGGTTCAGCGACAAGCCTCTGTGGCTCCATTCAATTGTTTGGCTGGCAAAGATATACATGTTTGTCGTCGTTCTGATCGCTACTCGTTTCCGCTGATTGACTTTCATACCTGAGTTTGAGGCGCCCCAATACAGATTGCCCTCGTATCTGTGCCTCCCCCGCTGATGCTGTGGGCGACAGATGCCCATGTCCAGCTTGTGTCACATCCTCAGCTTTGCCGATCATGGACGGGCCCTTGACCCAGAGTGTCAGGTCAACTTAGACCTATCCCTACCCTTCGACCCACTGACGCTGCGATAACAGGAACACTGTGGCCTATAAGCGCAGCAGAACAAACCTTCATTGCAAGTCTTTATCTCCAAAAGACTACATCTACCATGCATCACGTACCCAAACTTTGGCACCAGCTTCAGCACAGGGTGGTCAAAGAGATCATCGCAAAGATGGAGTGTTCTGTTCAAATGGCGGGATCGATCACTTGCGATCGAGTGTGGACGAGTGAAAATGTCAGCAGCCAGCCCTGGCAGCGCTAGTATGACAAGGAAAGTGGCGATGTAAATGGGTCTGTGAATGTGCTGACACCCGTCTGTTTTGCAGCTATAACTATATGTCAGCCGCACACTCCGAGACAAAACGAACATCAGTATTTTCGCCATCTTTACCGCAACATCCATTCCTGTTACTATCACCTCTCGATATTCCAGTGCTGGCCACACCTCTGAACTGATTGATCACCAACATGCCTATCATCAAGCGCTACAGCCAGGTCGATGAATACTCATCCCTCATCAGTACCAAGTCCACCGCTTCTGGTCGCCCCAAGACCGCTGCTCACGGTCCTCAATCCACTTTCGATGACATCATCCCTGCAGACTGGCTGTCCTCTATCTGCCCTCCGGTCTCTGACATCCAAAGCGCCATGCGCCGCTTCCAAACCCGCCCTGAAATCTCTCAAGAGCGCATTTTCGGGTTCATCTACCCGCTCTACCTCTTCACCGTCTTCTTCGCTGCAGCTGCCGTCGCATTCCAACCAATCTCGGTCGCATTCCACGTCTTATCGGATCCAAGAAATCACCCGAGTGAGATGGTGTTTGGATTCGTTGCATTGGGAGTGCTCATGCTCGCAGGGGTCGTCATATTGAGAGGACTGATTTGGGCTGTGGCGAAGGTGGTGAATACGGCGGTCGAGATGGACATGGGGGTCGCCGCTGCTGCTCCTCAAGCTGGTTTGACCGAACAGCCCTTGACCGCAGGCATCCTCCTCCGTGGTTTGTTCGCATAGTTACTAATTCCAGCTCACTGAAATCACCGCCAATTTACCCCTCCCTCCGGTCGTGTGAACTACCTGGAGTGCTCGGAACGGTATGAGAAACTTCGGTGTATGAGTACAGCTGTCATATATTCATGATGGTCCGTGACAAGCAAGGCCAACAGTTGTGAGGGAGTCCTGAGTGATTTGGATATGGCGTTCCAGATGTCAGCCGCCCTATTAAGTATCCATACAGATATGAATTCCAGCTGTTTAGGAAACTATAGGCCAGCGCAAAAAACGAGCACACAGTCGGAGGTGAATTTTAGTCCCATCGCCACCCGCGATCTGGTCACTACACCCCACAGTGACTGTCACTTACGATTGTCACTGGACCTGAAGGTCTCCATCCTTGCGCAATAAGGGTTGAGATGGCGAGAAAAGGGCAGGGTGCAATCAGGACAATCCCCTCGACCCCTCAACGACTCCTCAGAGAGTTGTCATCGCTGGCTCGGTCTTCACGACGCTGGCGTGATCACAGTCACAAGCGTCCAACGAAGTGAGGATCACTCCGGCACGTCAGCGGAGTTGACATTTAACTCACTTTTGCTGTGTGTGTTTTTTTCAGGTTGGCCTATAGTTTCCTAAACAGCTGTCATGAAGTCAAACTCGCATGTACTCAGCTCCGCGCGAGTATAGCAAGCATCATGAACAGTCGGTCATGAGCCACTGCCAATGACGAGAAATAAAAGAAGAAAAATGGTAACCAATACCCCCGGTGGGACTCGAACCCACAACCTCCAGATGTACCCTCTTGGTAGAAGTCTGACGTCATAGCCATTAGACAACGAGGGCTTGTTTCTTGTGGCTCGTTTGTTGATTATGATTTGGTCTGAAGTCAAGTACAAATCCATTCAAAAATCAACTTGAACTTCCTTAGGATTGCGACCACGACAACTCCTACACATTGTACAAAGACAACACTTATTCACATATTCATTGCCTCTTGCACAAGCCGAACAGCGCTCTCTGATCGCGGTGTGAATTCGCGAGGTAAAATTACTGGGTTACTGAATTTTGCACTGCCGTTAACCTTGCCGTAGAAAAAGAGAGACGAAGAGCACGACGCACGCAACTAAGCCCGTGCTGACATCAGTCGTCAGCTTCACTCGATTCCCAGCCTTGTCGTATCCGGGGCTGATATTGAAAACGTGTAAGGTGGAGGCGATGTAAATCGTAAGAGAGGCGTTGCTGAGGAAGCGGCCAGGGCAGATACTGTCGGTAGAGTGGGTTAGATAGACTCATAGAGAGGCTGAAGCCCTGAGCGCATGAGGACATGCCGTCTTCCAAAACCAAATGCGATTGTAATAGGATCTCGGATATCAGGATTAATCTTGGCGTCTTTAATGAACCTTTCTGGCCTGAACTCTTCTGGCTCTGGGTAGTCTTTGGGGTTGTGGAGAATTGCCCTGGATCTTATTCGTGAGCCGAACAAAACAGATAGTGTCGAGGAAAGACGCACCATGCATTCTAGCAGTGGCTTCCGGTTAGTTGTATAGAATGTAGGTAGTACAAAACAGCTTACCACTAGTATAGTTGAGCCCTTCGGTATCCGGTATCCTTTGTATTCGTCTTCTGCCATAGATGTACGAGGTACTGAAAATGGATTCACCGGAAGCCAGCGCATCGTCTCCATCGCAATTGCGCGAATGTATACTAGTGATTCTAGGTCATCGAAGTCAGGAAGCCGGTTAGGACCAACAACACGGTCAAGCTCCTCTTGCGCTTGTCGCTGGACGCGCGGATACATTCCCATCGCCAACATGAAAACCTCTGCTGCACAGGTTGTCTGTCGTAGTGTGTGTGAGTGGTGGATCTCGCTTTAGGTGTCATTCCCAGCTTACGGTGTCGGCAGCGGCTTGAGAACAGTCGTCAGCCAAAATAATCCTTTACCCATTCCAACCACGTACCAGAGTACGCTAGAGCAGTCACGTTTCTTGCAAGCTTTAGTTTCTCTTCAACTTGTTTTCCCTCAATAGTATCGACTTGTTCGTGGATTTCTCTGATCATTGTTGCAGTCACGCTCGGAGTCCCGTCACCTTGAGCCTTCGACAAAACGCGTTAGTCGTTTATGCTCAGAATTCGGGTACGGGGTTGTCAACGTACCAACGATGCTTCCACTTGATCGAAAGGCTGGTCCCGCATAGCTTGAACGATTGGACGATACGCGTCAGTCAACTTCCCAGCCCGGTTCCCAGGAAGCCATGAAGGAAGATGTCGTAAGAAGGGGAGGTATTCGACCCAATAGGCTCCTGGGACGAGCGCAAGGACAAGTCCCTCAACAGCTTTGTGTGCCAACGTGATGAAATCGTCTCCTAGGTTCTCCACACGCTTCCCGTAAACAATTCTAACAATGATTGCGACTATCATCCTGGTAATTCCGGATTAGTCTAGTATACGGCTCAAGCGCAGAGTACGTACAACCGAACATGTTCACGTCGATGTTCGGGAGAGGAAAGTAATCGATGGAGGAACGATCTGGCCTCTTGCAACTGAATGTCTTGATACACATGTGTGAGGTTTGGGCTGAAGTATTGGTGAACACTGCGGCGGTGGGCACGCCACACCGGTCCGTAGCCCATAAATGCAAAGTTAAAGCCCCAAGCCATCCTAGTATCAGCGTTATCATCATTGCCTTGAGGACGCGGAGTGGAGGGTGACTTACATTTCTAGCATGATGGGCATTCTCCGATCAGAGTAAATGTCCGATCTCCTCTCCAACAATTCAAAAGCAACCTCCGCACTCCCAACGAGGATCGTTGGCTGTGCGGGAAGGTCCAAGTAAACGACGTCTCCTGTAACGGATAGTCAGCCTTGAGCTGTCCTATGTTGAATCAGGTTTTGCTCACCGTACACGTCAGACCAGTCTCTGTAAGTCAACCAAGGCTCCTCTGTCGGCATATCCAGCATATTCCCCACCAGGAACCGCGATTTGGGGCCAGGTGGCAACGGAGGACCGGATGATCGTGATCCACTTCGCATACGTTTCACTACTTGCCAGACCAGCAACGTCGCAACCAACACACCCCCGTACGGCCACAGTACTTGCTCAGACATCGAGATGGTAGATGGATGTTAAGAAGGGGTATCCGTTCGACGATAGTAATACGAGGACAGAAAGACGCTCCGGGGACACATGCGAGCGTCGCGGTAGAACGAATCAACGATGACTCCCGCGACAATGCTAAGGAGCGTCATGTTGCTGTCGCCTGCCATTCGGTAACAGCAGAATCGAGGGGCAAGTGCCGTTGTAGCCGCCTGTACAATGGGGGTGATGTCGTAAAACATACCGAAAACGGCCAATATATCGAAGCCTAGAGCTGCCAATACTAGCAGTAGTAGACGTCAGTCACCTATAAGCAGCACGATCAAAACGCGGGGCGTCGAACGCCAATACGTGCGCACCTTTGACTTCAGCTCTGCATTGCGTAGCATCAGTACTTAGCTCGCCGCACAATCATTCATGGCGTGATGGCCAATGGTCATCTCGGCGTTATTGACGAAAGGTAGAATGTCGAGTACGTGGTACAGTATGTGAGTGATAAAGTTGAAAGTAACACACGCGTGTCCTCTTGGCGCTCAGGCCTCTCGCTCGTGTTGGAGCAGCACGACTCGGAGATTGTCCAGATCTGCGCCATCACTCACCCGCCAAGCAGGAGCATCGGATGGATAGTACAACACTTATATATTGCTAAGGCGTACAGGTATGGTTACAACAGCAATGATCAAAGCACGAGCTCGAGAAAAGGCGAGAGGTTGAATATACAGGTGCAAAGTTCCGTCACTATGGGCACCATCATGACCGTCACAGACGAAGCACCAACTATACCTAGACTGAAGCAGGTTGCTCACGAATTAGACGTTCAGCTGCATCTGAGCGAGGGGAAATTCCTGTCGGAACTGTGATGGGGTGTCTGGAGAAAAATTAGTTGCCGGACTTTGTCACCATCACTTTGGCGGGCTTGGGAAAACTTACATGATAAAGCCGTCGCGAACCTCTGTTGACAGTTTCTGTGGTTTGCTATCCGCATCAACTCCAGCAGAAATGTTGAATACCTGAAGTGCAGTGGCAATGAAGAGGCCAACAGCGTTGAACCCCAGATCTTCTCCAGGGCAGACCCTAATGACAAAGGGACAGTGAGTGCATGTAGTATTGTAAGAAAAGTCGTAACGTACCGTCTCCCAAAACCAAAAGCGAATGCGCGAGGATTGCGGACGTTGGGATCGATCCTACCGTCTTTGATAAAGCGCTCAGGTTTGAATGTCCCTGGTTCAGGGTAATCCGAAGGATCGTGAAGCATAGCCCTGCAGGTGTTGTTCAGTGTTAGTAATGCCGCTCCCGCAGTGAGGCCATGAACTGACCATGCATTCTAAGGACACATTGTCAATAACGCTAATGAATGTAAAGAGGAAGAACGGACCGGAATGACGATAGTCCCTGCAGGAATGAAGTAGCCATTGTATTCATCATCTTCAGTCAGACGATGTGGTACGGCAAGCGGGCCAGCTGGAATCCACCTCATTGTTTCGAGTGTCACGGCCTGGATGTAGACGAGCGAGTCCCAATCGCTCGGTTCTGGAAGACGACCAGTGCCGACAACTCTGTCCAGTTCTTCTTGAGCCTTCTTCTGAACATTTGGATATAGAGCCATAGCGAGCAAGAAGCTCGTAACGGCGGATACGGTCTGTATTGTTCACGTGAGTGATACGAACCACACACATCAGCGTCAATACCATACTGTATCAGAGGCACCTGTTCGAGCGATTAGAGAAAGGCTAGCCTTTCCATCACAGTGAGATTCACATACCAATGTACGCCACCCCCGTAACGTTCCGAAGTAACCTCTCTTGGTCCAACGGAAGCTCTGAGCTCCCGACTTTATCTTGAAGTTCCATGAGCATAGAATTCGCTATACATGGAATAGCAACCCCTTCATTCTTAGGTATGACCAAGGGTCAGTTGCTCAAATCAGTGGAAATGAAAGGAAGTTGCTCACTAATGCCGAGCGAACCTTCTGAAGAGGCCCTTTGATCATATTCTCCACGAACGGTTTATACCTTTCAGCAAGCCTACTGGTCCGGCCACCAGGTAGCCAGCTCGGAATGTACTGCAGAAAGGGTAAGAACTCGACCCAGTTCTCTCCTATAGCCCCCGCTCTGTTCGCGCCATCTAGAGCCTCCTCCACCACGCGTATGAATTCGTCGTCCAAGCTGTGGATTTTCATGCCGTACACGATCTGTAGTATCATAGAGGCAAACATTCTGGATGCTTTTGAGTCAAAGTACGGCGGTATTCCGGCGGAAACAAGGACTTACTGACGAACATGTATGGTTATGTTTTCCGGAGAATCCAAAAGTCGTGAGATGCATGCACTGATTTCATGTCGTATAATATCATCATATGCAGGCAGCGCGTTGGGCTCGAAGTATCGGTGGAACGCTTTCCTGTGCGCCCGCCAATCTGCGCCGTAAGGCATCAAGGCCATACTGAAATCCCATGACATTCTGTGGCACAAAATAAAAACGATAAGTTGTGTCGTTCTTACACGAGGACGGAGGAGAAGGAATGACGCACAACTTCGGCATCAATAGCTGTAACCGGTCGGAATATAGGTGGGAGCGTTTCTCCAACAGGTCGGTCGCGGCCTGCGCAGAATCCACAACCAAAATGGGTTGCATCGGGACATCCAGAAACATGACATCGCCTACAAACGGGGATGTTGCGCGGGAGAATCAGAGCCTGTTTCCCCGTTAGAGTCCCATTGACTTGCCGTGCTGCTTGCACATCTCATGGT